AATATATAAAACTATTATATATACTTTGATAACATAATTTTCTGCAGTGTATGCCCAAGTCGTCTCAACCCGCTAACTAGCCCAATTAGAGTAACTGTACAAACAGTTTGTTAAGATTTTCGTAGCTTATTGATTATTGTAATTAAATAGCTGTGGCAATTGGTGCGACAATATTTTTGTGGCGGTCATTGTCCGCGTTCGTTGTGTTGTGGCCAGTTGCCTGGTTGCTTCAACCACCTGGCCTAAATGTGAATCAAGGGCTACTGGCCAAGGTTCGGCGGGGTTCAGTTTGCTTTCGATTTGCGGTCAGTCATGTTCTATAGGCCCGTGCGCAAGTCGAGCTGGCGGCGCAGACACAAGGTGAAACCAATTAGCGGGCTAAATAGTGAATCACCCATGGACTGTGCAAGAAAATATGCCACAAGAATGCCTTAAAGCGGGATAAAGTAGGCCACATAAGTGCTGTTCAGTGTAGTTGTGCCACCTGCTTTCAGTTCGGTCCCTAAACATTAATTAGGGTAGCAGCATGACATTGTTCGCCAATCACCTGCACCGCTGCACCACTGCACCGCTGCACCACTGTTCAGCTTAATGACCAGCTAACATGCCAACGTACTCTAATCCTCCTTTCAATTAACCAACTGCACGAAGCAACACACATACACACACACACACACACACACACGCACACACACACGCACGCACACACATTTTCACATAGATAGTGAAAGCAATTGCCATGACGTGTAATTTGGCAAATTAGTTTGTCGTCCGCTATTTGATTAGATGGCTCGAAATTAATAACTCGAATGCCAAATGCAACATGTCCCATAACAATTCATAGATGGTTGATCAAATAAAGATTATTTGTGCTTTCCAAACTAATCACATTGCTATACAATACACCCAAGTACTTCCAATTGATCTACTAAAGGAATGTGACTTTTGAGAGTCATAGAAAATATAGTATATAACTTAAGAGAATGCTACAATTAGTTAAATGAAGCAAAGCAAACCGAAAAAAAAAACTAGCTAGTAAATTAAATATAATAATTAAAGTTCTGAAATATTAATTGTAAATAATCAAATGCAATAATGAAAAAATTTTTATTATTA